TATGACAGGTCCACCTTAGGGCTGCTGCAAGTTGGAAACAACCTGAAGGCATACAGCAATGACAACATTCATACACATAGCACACTTGTGTCACTTGTGATCATGAACAGACTTTTTAAAAACTTTAACTGCCACAAGGGGACTTGCAGTTCTTAGGAATGTGAGATTAACTTTTTTCTCACTAGATATGACCCCACACCAAAAAGTTTATGTGCACATGTGCACATGCACATGCACACACCATATTCCAATTAATCTTAAAAATTGGCTAGATTTGAAGCATTTTAAACAATCTCACTGTTGTACAACTTGCAAGGAGTAGACAAAAAAGTTCAATCATGGAGACCCCAAAAACTGTATAGATTGCCAATTGTTTTGACAGCTCCCTGACACAAAGCAAGACTATCTATCCACCACCAAATACCATCCATGCCATGATGTATCATAAGCAGAAAGCAAGCAGCCTGGAGAAAGATGCATGAATCTGCAGGAAGAGAAGCTCTAAATGACCCAATCTTGCAAATTATGCTCAGACTAAAGTGGAACATCAATCAGAATTACTGTCCAATTTGACCAGTGGGGAAATTTCTTATCCAAGCATCAAATATGGTGATTTTCATGACTGTTCATATTGGTCAGGTGCAGATAATCCAAGCATGAGCAAAAATTTTGCAAAGATATTTGAGGCAATCCAATGGCAGACCACTCATTATCCTATGACCACAATTTGAGAAGTAACACCAGGAAAGAACATGTAATTATTTTTGTAAATGATCAAAAAAGCTGCAAGCTGATTACCCCTGATTGTCACTGACTACTTAAAAATCAGATTCTTCTTGATCAGAGTGAAGATCTTTTCCCCCATGCAAACCTGGTTTAACACCCTGAGTTTGCTGTCGGCCTCTGTGATTCCTATAAAAACATTGGATCTTTCTTGCAGCTACATCCATTTTCCAGCCAGCTGCTTTACCATTGCCTGTATTTCATATGAGGAAATACAAACATAAAGAAAACAACATTTGAGCTCAAGGAAAGCGCTTTCCTACAAGGCCTTCAAAATGGAAGGACTCTCAACAGAGAGATATTGGGAAACAGTAACCAACAGGGAGTATGTCTGGTGCCGTCCGACAAGCAACAGTTGCATAAGTTACAGCACTATCAGAAAGAAGCAGCAGGATAAGAAATAAACAGGAAGAAAACAGCTTTGTGCTGACAAAAAGCCAAAATGCTGGCAACCTCCAGTGTTTTGAAAATGTCTGCATCTTTGGCCCCCTTCCACTGTTTGTATTAATGAACAGGAAATGAGATACATGCTTCTCACTCGATTATTTATGAAGGTGTGTGGCTCGGAATACATAAAGGAAATCATTATCTCTATCAGTTATGCTGACTGGAGAGGACAGAGGTGACTGAAAATGTTATTTATACTCCTGAAACTAATTCCATAGCATTTTAATCTCCTTGTGCTAATAATTATCTAGGGTTCATCACTCTCACATTTTGTCCCCTCCTTACAACCCAAAAGGTATATTTATCACCTTGAAACGATGACCATTTCCCACCCATCCACCCCCTTAGACTGAAATGGAACTGGGCTGACATCTTTGACCAGAAATCAGTGCTGCAAGCTCAGTAAGGAACACAGAGATGATAGAGAAGACCCTTAGGATGGTTGCTATTGTTTCTCGTATAGATATATAGCATTCTGTTATGGTGCCTAGGACTTTACAGTGCAAAAGTGACACCTGCTGGTTGCCATGCAAGATAGTCAGCTACTCACAGAATGAACCAGGAACTCACAGAACACCATGAACAGTGCAGCATCTATGCAACTCACACTGTTAGTCTTTGAGATGAGAATGTTTGCAATAGTGGACTTGGCTCTTTTTTGGTATACAACATGGAAAATGTTTTGTCCAATAGTGGACTTGTCCTTTTTTTTTTGGTATACAACATGGACAACAGTTTTAGGAATTTCTCCGCTACATAGTTTAACAGTAATTTACACCACTTATGTTTGTAGTTTGGTAAGGCACTTAGAATCCTCAGCTACAGATTTCTCAGGAGAGTGGAGATTAGAGCTCTCCAGAAGTTAATTCTAAGTTCCTTACCAAACTGCAGATCTCAGAGTTCCACAGGATAGAGCTATAGGCACGTCCGTCTACACAGGCCAAATGAAGCAATTCTCTCCCTCCCCCTGATGCCCCCCCCCATCCATACAGCAACCTGCATAACACAAGGCCCAATTCCCAGTTCGAGTGAGGACTGTCTTCATGATATAAGGCCAGTTCTGCACTGAATATGCACCATACCAGCCTCAAATCAGTCTAAAATAACTCACCTTTTGTTTTGGATTTTTCAGAAAAACTCAGAGCAATCTGTAGGGATGCCAGGCAATTATCTACATACACATCCTACTGTGTTGTCCAATGCTGCGAATAATGGCACAAGTCACTCCCTCTGAGATCACAACACGGCACCCAGCCATATGATCAATACTGGGCACTTTGTTTCTAATCTCACAGCAAATGACTTGTGTCACTGGTGGTGGCTCCAGGCAACACTGTGGGATGCATATAGAGAGAACTGCCTGGCATCACTACAGAGTTCAGAGGGAATGGGAGGAATCTGGAGTATTCTGGCTGGTGTGGACAAGCCCTAAGACAAGTTAAAGCAGTATTAAACTGCTCTGTGTCATGTTAGTGCACTATCCATTTACAAACAAGCATTGTCAGTATCTTCTGGTGTCTTCTGATGGTGGCTGGTTATTAGTTGTGCAGACACAAGGAGATGTCACAGTGAAATTATTTCAGGAACTTCCATATCATTTATGGACTATAAGAAGGGCAGAGGAGGAAGCAGTCTAGTCATGAGACTCACTCACTCTGATCTTGCAGTAGTACAGAGGTTTGGAGAAAGGTACTGCATGACTGTTGTCATGCACTGCCTAAAATAGGCAATAATAGCTAGGCTTGCATGTTGCACTAAACCATGGTTTATATTTGCCATGGTTTCTTAGTTTAGCCAAATTGTCCCACAGAAAAATGAACAAAATAGTTGCATTCTCTGCAAGTTTGGTCAGTTTTAATCCCACCCTTCTTGTAAGCTCCTGTTTCAGTCAGCTGGGGAAACAAACTATGGACAAGGCATGTTCAAAACAAGCTATGCTTCAAGCCAGAATGCCAACAACAGACAATGGTTTCTAACCAATTACAGTCGCCCCGTCATTTTAGCGGACTTGGTGTCTGCATCCCTTGCCTGTTCACAGGTAGCAAACAGAGGGGGGAAATTCGGTTGCACACCCACAGCGCAGGACCAAGAGAGGCACCATGCAAGCCTATGGGGCTTGAATATTTGTGATTTTCCATTTTCGTGTGTGTGTGTGTGTGTGTGTGTGTGTGTGTGTCTGTCTGTCTGTTCCGGAATGGATCCTCAGTGAAAACAGAGGGGTGACTTTATAACAAATTGTAGCAAACACATTTCTGAGCATGGTTGTTGAGGATGGAGTATCTTGGAGATGACTCATTCACAGGGTCTCTTGAGAGCAGTTAACAACAAAAAATTTTGTTTGCAGGGACAAGTTCAAATATAACAACAATTTAGGATTCCAAAAATTACAGCCAGGTTTACCATTATGTGCAAATATGGCTGAGGTAATAATATGTACTGGAAGTTGTTAAGAAAGATGTGGGGTTTGATGGAATGACATGCTCTCCTCTCTCTTTCAGTTCTGGGGTAGGAGAAGGCAAGAGATCTATTCTCCTCTACTCCAGAGGGCAGAATCTGCAACTCAATATATGGGATTGTGATCACCTTCTGAGTTCTAACATCAACACCTTCAACATGTAAGATAATTCTTGCTAATGTATGTGAGGCCTTTGTGTGATTTAATGGATCCCACATTAAGCTGAAAAATGTTTTGTGGAATAAAGAAAATGGCCTCAGAGAGAAGATTTTACTTTTTCTCTTCCAAACTCCTCAATCTTCCTCTTCCTCCTGTGGACAGTCGGAGCATTCTTAGCCAGTGGCTAAGACACAAGAAAGTTGTAAACTATCAAGATAGGAAGTGTCTGGGAAAGCTTAGGTTATTTTGTGCTGAGTGGCATATTCTGTAACAATGTGGCAATCTTATTTAAATCGGTACTTAAATGTGATCCATGGAATAGATAACCCATTATGGGGCATATGTAACAGATTAAAACATGCATTAGGCCATCCACTCTGCTGCACTTTAAGGAAAACAGCTAACCTTGTTTATCCTCCCTCTCGGAGTCACTCTCTCCATATCCATCACTTTCATCTCGCTCACTGTCAGAGGCCCGCAAAGCTTTCTCTGATGAGTTTTTATTCTCCTTTTCATGGTCTAAATTATCTTTTTCATCATCTGAGGGTGACTTTGACATTCCATTCATTTGATCATCAGCCTGTCCTTCTTCATTAACTTTCTCATCTGATTTCTCTTCATCTGCTTCAAAATCTTCATCATATGCTGAAATAAAAGGACAACTGTACTGAGAGACAGAAGATGGAATGCATGCTACTTGAAGTTCTCATTAACCCCAAATAGGTTAAGTCCATTAGCCTTTGTTCTCCTTTGCATTTGACCCTCCCTTTGCTTTGTCAAAAAAACCAGCAAGAAATTAACATGGTGAGCCACAAACTGAAGTAATACACTGATACAATACTTCTCCAAAAACTTATCTCCATAGAAGTTCCTTTTTCATAAAGCTCACTAGAAGGCACATGTAACCCAGTTCTTCTGTA